TGTGTGTGTGTGTGTGTGTGTGTGTGTGTGTGTGTGAGCGCGCTTGAGTATTTAGACAAACCGTACCCTTTGAAAGCCACAACCCGTAAAAAAAACACAACTAATAATACTACTAATAATAAATAATAAATAGCATTTGTATAGCGCATATCCCCGCTCAACAGCAGGCTCTATGCGCTTTACACTATATTATTACCCCAGCAGACCATAGAACACTCCGAAACATTCTCAGCTTCCCAGGAAGCATACAGTGCAAGCAGCTGATTAAGCGCTCAAACACAAACAAACTGACAAGATCTTTCGCTGTCTATAGCCGAGTACCCATTCCCGACTGGGTGAAGTGGGGAAAAATCGTGTAAAGTGCCTTTCCCAAGGACACAACGTCGGGTCCCTGACAGGATTTGAACCCACGACCTTACGGTTGCGAGTCCGAGAGCCTAACCACTAGGCCACCGACGCCTTTCTTTAATAAAAGAAAGTAAAGTGAAAGTGAACTTAGAAACACGATTATTTTTTGGGAATTACACCAGGCAGAGTGCACGGGCTTTCAAGTCTATGGTTTTCAATAAAAGCGCAGAGCAGGGCACACTACCACGTTTATTATTGTATACTTGTAAATTCATGAGTTCTTTCCCCTGCGTTATTTACAACAACAAAGAGTACTGTCGGTTTTGGTTCGAATTTTAAACTGTTTTAAGAAATGTAAAAATAATGTATTTATCGCCTTGATTATTATAATTATTATTGAACAAAAATTATAAAAAAATTCCTGTATTTATATTTGTATACGCAACCAAAACTATACTGACATTTACCTAGTCCATAAAAATGTGGAAGTTAGTCAAAAAGATACGAATCCCGAACCAATATCCGGCGCCGATGGTTGCGTCCTGCAGAATAGAAGAAAGACCGTCATTGATTTCATTTCAGTTACCTGTATTTGTGCTGTTGTGGTAATTTGTAGTACGTAATACCCCTAGTTTCTATCCTTGGAAAATTCAGGGCTCATTAAAAACATTTTAGAATGACATCGACAATACCTGTTAAAATAGAGAGAATATTGTTTACGTAAACTAGAATCTAGATCTACTCAATCGTTGAGAGCCAACTGCTGCACTCTCCATCACTCACACTCACCCAAAACACTCCTGAGTCACTGGTAAGTCCTTGTGACTGTGGTACCAGTGTAGTGCAGTATGCTGCAACATCTGTTGCCCATGGCTGGAGAGCAATGCATTTGATAAAACTCCACTGCTGAACTAGATCTAGATATAGATATAGATCTATATCTAGATCTAGATCTACATCGATATTGATCTGTTTTTAGTTAATATTGTTTGTGAAAGTGGCTATTCTCACCCGCCCGGAAGTTCTCGCAAGATCAACTCCTCCCCTCTTCTCTCTCTCTCCGTCTCTTTCTGAATACTGTCTATCGGTGTGGACAATCAAATTGACCAAAACAAAGTTAAAAAATGATGTTAAAACACAAAAGTAAATAAATTTGGTTGTCTACAAAGATGCTACGGCTATTTAACTTTTCGAATCGAGCCGAACTACGCGGGTCGCCATTTTGTTTTGCCCGGAAATTCTCGCGCTACTCCTCTCTCTCTTTCTCTCTCTCTCTCCACTGCCCACAGACAAAATTGTACGCTTTTAGTAGGCTACAATTGTAATGGAACGTTTGTTCACGGCACAGAATTCTACAATTTTTCTGTTATCACAGTGTAGAATTCTGTGGTTTAGGGTGAACGCAAAATTTGGTGAAGGCGCACCGGGTGAGAATAGCCACAAGACTCGCCTGCACTATTCTCACTCCGGGTGAGAATAGAGGTGGCCTTTGTTTGCCCTACCTGGCATGCATGGCTGACTAGACTAGTTGGTATTTTTTTACTTTCCCTCCCGTCTCACACTCAGCTACCAGTTGTCTATTTTCTACTAAATATTGATGCGCTGAACACGAGAATATCAACTTCATTTCCGTCGCAAATTAATGGTTTTTGAAATATTTGATTGTTTTTAACCGAGATAGACATGCTTTGGTGGACCAATCGGGGGGTTCCAGGGGGGCCTGCCCCACTGGGGTAAAAGAAAATCTGGGGGGTTACAGGGGGGCATGCCCCCCTGTTTTTACACCCATAATTTGATATTTTACAGTTAGATTTGAAATTGTCTTGAAAATAATTGATTTGCGACAGTTTTAGTGGCTTTATGTGTGATCTGCAGCAAACAGTACAGCAGTTTGACCCCTGAAACAGTGCATCTGTGTGCGGGAGTGAAATTAAAAATTTACCGACTAGTTAGATCTAGATTCTAGATTCTAGATCTAGTTGTTGATCTTGTACTTGTAGTTCTGTTCGTTTAAGTCCACGATCCATTTGTTTACATTCAGAGAAGAAATCTGGAAATCTTGATGACCAAATAGGCAACACAAAGAACGGGGATGCAACCTGTTCTAACTGCAAAATATCAAATTATAATAATGCTATTCAGGGGGGCAGTGCCCCCCCCCCTGAACCCCCCCAACCCTCCCTGAAACCCCCCACTCTTGACTCTAGGCCTTGGGGCCCAAACCGACGAATAATAATTAGGGGATGGGAACTGCCAAAAAAGCGCCATTCTTTGCTTCAATTTTGATTTTCTGGCTTTGGTCACATTATTTCCTTCCAGTCTCACGCTTAGTTCACTCCTCAACGATTACCTGGCAATTCAGAGTCTCTGGCGTTCAGCTTTGGACTTTTACGAACGAAACTACAAAATCACTGACTAGTTTAGAAAGTTAGCTACTACTGATGGATGTAAGTAACTAACTTCCTACTCTATTCACTGACTCAACTAATAAAATTCAGACTACTCAACTAATGAGGAATGACTGATAATGTCATGTAGTCACACTAGTCTCAGTAATTTTGAAAGTGTTAGTAGGCCCGTAGTAAAGTGTAGAGAAAGGCCAGCTCTATTCGGACTAAATGAAAGTCCAAATAGATTTTTTATCTATTCCGAATATAATGGGTTTTATTTATTCGGACTCAACTTCCAGGTGACTTTTATGTGAGTGTAAGGAGGGTACATAATACTGTTGTCGCGGATTTTACGTAAAACCAGAATCAGAACTAGAATTACCTACTGGGACTGTGTAATTAGGGAGTGTATACAGACCCGGTAACCGGGAACAAAGTCACAAAGTATACAGACCCGGTAGGGGAACTCTTTCGGAGAGTTTCAACGCCCTCTTGGCTCAGGGTAGACCTAGGTTCTTTTAGATCTATGGCCTAGGTCTAGATCTAGATCTAGGCAGACAGAAAAATCTTTCTAGTTTCGCGGCTAGCCTAGATCTAGATCTAAATGAAGATTGCGGATGTTTTTTCGATGAACAATCGTTTTTCCTCCGTTTTGGAGTTGGAGGAATCGCAATTTGAAGAAAAGAACAATGTCATATAATTTCAATCGAGCATAACCCTCTCTAGTCTCTATTTCTCTGCCTCTCTCTCTCTCTATCTCTCTCTCTCTCTCTCTCTCTATCCTCTGTGTATCGCTCGCCTTCTCTTTTTCATAGTTTGTCTCTGTCTTTCTTTCTCCCCACCTATTTCCCACTCTATCTTTCTTTCCTTCCCTCCTGCCAACTGGGGCATGTCATATATATTGCTAGCACCTCTCTCTCTCTCTCTCTCTCTCTCTCTCTCTCTCTCTCTCTCTCTCTCTCACACACACACACACACACACACACAAACACACACACACACACACACACACACACAATTTCTACCGGGTCTGGGCGCTGAAACTTCCCAAAATCACAAAAGAGTTCCCCTACCGGGTCTGTATACTTCGTGACTTTGTTCCCGGTTACCGGGTCTGTATACACTTCGGTGTAATTATGTCAAAAGTCAAAAGATTGCACTTTCATTGTCCACGTATGTCAGTGTCTAAGTACACGGTAACGGACAACTCAGGGTCTTTCCACCACCACCATAGCGTCATCATTACTTCCACCACCATTTGTCTTTCCACATAATTAATTTCATTTGGCTGTGTTTTATAGTTTTTCTGTAATTAAATTTTATTTTTTTTATTACACCGCGCAAAATGGACTGCTGTGGCCTCTTCCCTCGCAAGCAGAGAGTACGTGATCTCTACGCGCAATCTCATTGGTTGACATTATAATTAACTTTGCCTCCGGCGAGGTCAACTCAACTTGGTTGTTCTGTTCACTCTTCATACTAATAATGCAGGGAGGGCAGTTTAGATAGATCTAGTAACTGGATATTAAAGCTCACGTCTTGATTGTTAAAAATATATAATCGAAAAAAAATTAATAAATGCTGGAAATATCTAGGAACGACGGTCAGAAGTCGGAACGGACGCCATGCTGGACTCAATTCGGAGTCCGAATATAGTTTTTGTCTATTCTGACTCGAGTCCGAATAGTCACTTCAGTAGAGAAATAGGTTAATGTAGGGGTTGTCTCAGGTGTCAATTAAACATTTTTCGGAAAAACTCTGTTGTGAGAATGAATGACAAAGAAAGAATAATGACCAAAGAAGTTTTGGTTTTAATCAACACAATTCGACATTCTCATTTTAGACCTCTGAAACGAGACAGAACAAACATGAAATAAAACAATTAAGAAGCTCCATAAAGATGACATGAAGGCGAGCGGTACAAGCGGAAATTGAAAAAGCGGGGACATCATGGAAACAGCTAGAAAAGGATGCCAAGGACAGGCTCTGCTGGAGAAATGTTGTTGATAGCCTGTGCTCCACTGAGAGTTAAAAAGGGCAAGAGAGAGAGAGAGAGAGAGAAGAAGCTTCATACACACCAAACCCGTTATTCCAGATTCTTGAAGGAAGAGGCTAGCCGTACTTAAGTACGGCTAGACTCGCAGTCTAGCCGTACTTATTCTTAATATGATGGCTAGACTGGCCATTTACAAAAAATAGGCCTACTGAATTGTAAGTACATTATACATTTTTAGTGTGCGGTACCTAAAGTATTTGTATTTGAGACGAAACCAGGTGCCTAAATGACAGTGCATGTATTTTCAACCTCCTGTTTTCTCATGTTAATTGGGCCTAAGATACGGACGGTTAGACTGTCAGGCTAGCCGTACTTAATATTGATGGCTGAATTGTAAATGAAATTTTTAGTTTGCAATGCCTAAAGTATTTGTATTTCAGACAAAACCAAAAGGTGCCTTACTGACTTGCATGTATTTGAACCTGAATAATTACTAGATCTAGATCTAATGAGACCTGTGTACTTAACAGGCTTGAATCGATAGGGCCAAACCTCGATCTAAGTATGGTTATTGTTATATAATTATTTTGACCTCTATGCTGTCTTGGTGTCTTGATCACACTGTGTAGTATTCTTTAATAGTTTTTGATTATTAAGATTTATAATAAATAATAAATACGGCTATTACTATTAGCATTCTGTATCCTTAATAACACAAGTGAGTTTTTGTTGTCTTTTGGGATCTTGTTGGTTTGGGAGTCATTCTAGATCTATACTTCCTTAATATTATATAGTAGAAATTGACTTACTGTCATTCTAACTGAAAACTTAAAATGTCATGTCACTGGTGTAAAATATAATATTAACTTAAGCCTTAGATAAGTGTATAATTATAATATAGAATAATTTATCTGATATTTAATGCTGTTGTATTTTCATTTTTATCATTTGTGGATTGGGGGGGGGGGGGGGGATAACTCACAATTTTGTGGTCAAATAATAAATGTTCTAGGGGAAATTTTATATGCCCCTGCGGGCCAATAAGCACTCCGTTTTTTAAAAATCGCCGAGACCGGGGAAAATGCATAAAAGATCTTGAATATTTGAAAACCAAATCCATTAACGTCTTTCAGTTAATATCTGCCGGTCGCGATTGTGATATTAATTCGGCCCTGAGAGTACGTTTCACGCGAACTGGCGGCTTTGGCTGCATGGCAAGCGGAATTGTATCACCAAGGCTCGACTGGAAAATCAAGATCTACTTTCGCTTTCGTTTCCACCCAGATATTTGTCAGTAATTGTCTGATTATAACGCAACATTTATTGTGACATGCAGGTTCGGCATTACAAACGTGGTGTCGCCATGAAAATAAGTCAATATTTGTCACTGTGTCGTCACTTGTGGGGGCAACAAAAAATAAGAAAAGAAAGTTATACAAGCGTCTTATCGGGCTCGCCATTGTGACCGGCCGTCCAATGAACCTGCGCGCGTTCTGAGCGCTGCGAAGTACAGGACTCAATTCAGTGGGGGGGAGATTATTGATCTTTTAAAAAAAGACGCACTCGGGGATAGGGGGAGGGCTGGACGCAACACCAGAGGACAAAAAAACTGAAACTGGAAGCAAATGTTTAATGTTTAGAATTTTGATTACTACTACAGCTCTCTGCAAAGTAAATTGTGCGTTGGTGCACGGGAACGGTCATTATAACTTGTAAGCGTGTTATGGAACTTAGGCGCCTAAGTGTTAGCGTTTCATTGGATTGGTGACAGTAAATTTGATCTCATTATTATTTAGCTTGATGGCTCAATTGTAATTGAAATTTTTAGTTTGCAATGCCTAAAGTATTTGTATTTGAGATAAAACCAAAAGGTGCCTTACTGACTTGCATGTATTTGAACCTGAATAATTACTAGATCTAGATCTAATGAGACCTGTGTACTTAACAGGCTTGAGTCGATAGGGCCAAACCTAGATCTAAGTAGGGCTAGCCACTTCGTATAATAATATTATATAGGCCTAAATATATGATGTGAATCATGACAGTCGATATTCTGGTTCTAGGCTCAAAACAAGATTCATTTTTATATAGTTTATATATACAGGCGAATATGATGAAGGGAAAATTTAAATAAGTCGCACAAGACCCCTGCGCCACCACTTTCTGTACGTAATCAAGATTGTAAATATTTGGTACGTGACTCTTACTTGAAATTATCTCCCAAACCCTAAAATTGGTGTGAAATAACCTTGCTTTGATAAATTGATGGTTTTTGTTTCAGCATTCTAGGGTTCAACAGTATAATAAGAATGGGTGTTTCGTGAAAATGGGCTTCTGTGGCGATCACCCGGAAAGTTCCTCCTTTTTTAAAATTCTGAGTTGAGACCCATGAGACAATGTGAGTTCTAAATTTTGAGGCGCGTTTCCAAGGCCAGGGGTCAGAAAAGTTCCAGATTTTTTCGTAGCCAGTTGGCACTTCAATGTGGTATCTGTAATTTATTTAGGATCTGAGATATTAAATGTTACAACCAGGTTTATCGTCTTAGCTATGAGGTCATTCTACTATATATCATAGACTATTGGGTGGGAAGTGCGGGTTCTGCGAGGTATGTTTTTTAGACTGAATCGTGCGAGACAGTGACTAGTCAAAGCTGACGTCTGTAGATTATTCAGTCTTAGTATTTTTATAGCTGTTCACATCGTTATGCTTTGTTCTACAGATGTTGTCTATAGACAAAGCCATCTCTTTCATGTCTCTTTCTATTGATGCATAGTTTGATAGACAGCCGGAGCCTAGTTGATAAAAAGAAGTGAAACGCGATGTCTTTCGAACACACACTTTGCGGAAAGGGCTAACACATAAAATCGGAAAGCTTGTTCAGTCTCAGAACTTACAGGTTGTTTACATCGTTATGGCTTGTTCTACGCAGGTCTTGTCAATGGAAGAATTCATCTCTTCATTGATATAAAAAAGTTTTACCAATTTGTCTCTTGCAATAAGCCAACAAACGTCGATTAACACTTACAGTACCGAAGGCTCATGGTGAAAAATCCTCAAGTACAGCACCAGTTAAGAATACTGAAGCCATGGTAGAATTTTAAAAAAATTTAAAAGCCTTTACTATACCCAAGAAACACGCTTTATAAATTCACAGAGTTTCATCGACCATTAAGCTATCATACATAGAGTGACTTCCTTTTGGTATTTACTTCAGTTCAGTGGCTCTGTTCGTTGTTTACTTATGTTTAGTGTGCCTGGTCGTGTCGGCGACAGTCGCCAGCGGTTATGAGCGCACACTATGGCTTGGCGACTAAAGTCGCAGACGGTACTAAAAGTGTAAGATTGTGACCCGTGATGTCTTGCATATATATAATAATAAATAAATAAATAATAAATAGCATTTGTATAGCGCATATTCCCCGCTCAACAGCAGGCTCTATGCGCTTTACACTATATTATTACCCCAGCAGACCATAGAACATTCCGAAACATTCTCAGCTTCCCGGGAAGCATACAGTGCAAGCAGCTGATTAAGCGCTCAAACACTAACAAACTGACAAGATCTTTCGCTGTCTATAGCCGGGTACCCATTCCCACCTGGGTGAAGTGAGGAAAATTCGTGTAAAGTGCCTTTCCCAAGGACACAACGTCGGGCCCCTGACGGGATTCGAACCCACGACCTTACGGTTGCGAGTCCGAGAGCCTAACCTAACCACTAGGCCACCGACATATATATATATATATATGGTGGAATTTTGCTTAGCATGTGGGGTGCATGGTTAGCAGTCAAGTGGTTAATGTTTGCTCTACTCTTCTTGTATTGCTTTCTGTTTCGTTTCCATTTTTCCCAATTTCACAGATTTTGTGGTGGGTGGTGGGCAGTTTCTCTCTTGTGGTTTGCGCCTTCTTTCTGATCAGACATCTCTTGTCCTTGTTGCTCCTCCTTTCTTTTGTGTGTGTTTGTTACGCTCTTGTAACACTTCGGCACTTATACGAAGTATTTGTGTTGCAAGTGCAATAAAACTCTTGCTAAAACTTTTTAAATCCTAAACCACAATTTTTAGATTTTGTAGGGACAATTTTCTTCTCGTTGCACTTTCTTTTCTTTTAATATATATATATATATATTATGTTATTATCTGATGTGCTGCACCAATCTATGTATTTGCTGAGTCATTATTATTCATTATAATATAATGTGCGGATTTATGGGCCAAAGGCCTTTAAAGTTAAAGAAAAAAAATCTCAATATCTGAAATCTCAGAAGTCTTCTGTTTTCTTTCACAGACAAATAGTTTGTGTAGTGCGCTGTGAACTGCCTTCACTCTATGGCTGGTCGAGGGAGGGCGCGGGGACGAGGGCGAGGGTTAGGCGACTCGGAGGCTTCCGCCCCTGGAGGTCTGGCTGCGAGGAACAGCGTTGATGAGGTAATGTGGAAGTGGGTGGTTGACGGGTGCTCGTGTGTGGTTTGCTCCGTCTTTTCTATCGAGCATCTATCATTCATCCTTGCATATCTCTTCCTTCTTTTTTATGTTTGTTATTCTCTTGCACTACTGTTAATCTTCGGCCCTTATATGACCTTGTTGCGTTGAAAGTGCTGTGAAACTCTTACTAAAACTAAAGAGGTAACAGAAACACAAGCAGGTCACTACATGTTTGTTCCCTTTGCTTACATGTTGTTGATTAACGTGTTGGTTTTATGGAGTCTGTGGTGTAGCCTATAGGCAGTTTGCCGTCACATGGATGTTGTATCTTTGATTAACGTGTTGGTTTTATGGAGTCTGTGGTGTAGCCTATAGGCACTTTGCCGTCACATGCAAAAGACCTGAGTTCGATTGTGGAGTGTGGAGAATTTTTAACTCGTTCTTTCTTTCTACTGGGATGTTGTATCTTTCTCCCCCCGGGTTGACCCTGAAGGCATTGATGATTGTCGAAGCCGTCCTCTTGAATGATAGAAGTTGTGCCAATGGGAAGCGTTGAAAACGACTACTACTACTTTTTAAACGACTACTACTACTTTTAAAACGACTACTACTACTTTTAAAACTACTTTTAAAACGACTACTACTACTTTTTAAACGACTACTACTACTTTTAAAAAAGAGAAAAAAATTACCTCCTGTACAGTTTGGTAGAATGTGTTACCGTTGTAGTCAAATCAGGCTCTTGTGAAAATAATGAAATTGACGAAACCGACATTGTTTCGCCAGTTGGGCATTTTTCATCGAATCTTTGTTTTATTTTGGCTGAATACCTTTTATGTTCATTTAGAAACAAATTTCTGTGTGGATTTTACCCCCAGCAAATGTGAAAGGCACAAAAAATATAAATTAACAATAGTTCAATAACAATACAAAATGAATACCCCACTCCCCACTTTCAACCTTCACAAATACATTGTTTTATGTTGATATTGATATTGTATCCACTATCCACTGTGGAATGGGTGGTGTTAATCTTTTCTATTTTATAACGTTTCTTTTTTATTCCTTCGTGGGCGATGACTACGCAGGATGAGTCGACTCCTGAGGTTACTCAAAACTCCAATGAGGGAGAGAGTAAAACAGCAAGTGGAGGAGTTGGACAGCCGACCTTGTCCCTGAAGTAAGCTGGCCCGGCCTCTGTTTCATCGTCTTTGTTATCTTCATTATCATCATCATCAACTTTGAAATTGCTTCGGAAGATTGTTGCGAGGATGGGTGGTAGGCGGGTGATCTGGTGTGGTTAGCTCCACTTGCCTGTGAAAAACATCTATCATCCTGATCTCTTCTTCTTCTTTTTTGTGTTTGTTACTCTTTCGTTCCACCTCTAATCTTTGGCTCTTGTATGATTTGATTGTATTGCCAGTTCAGATAAACTCTTACTAAAACAAAGATTTGAAACTTCGATTCCAAAATTTTCATAGTTACCCAACCCACTCTGGTGACCAGACTGGGTTTTTGTTGGGAGATTTTGATTCATTATGAGATGACATGTCGTGTTCTGCTCAGATTTTTCTTGAATGAATGACGTACTGTTTCACCAGAGTCTGCAATTTAGCGGTTACCGACTGTACTGTCACAGGCAGATGACCTGAGTTTCATTTCAATGTGGGGGAGCATTTTTGTTGAGCGTCTCGGCTTTTCTGCTGGGTCGTTGTATCCCTCTCAGCCTGGTTGGCTCTGACAGGGAGGGAGGGTCGAAGCCTGTCTCCTAAATGACTTTAACTGTTTTGATGGGGGGGGGGGGGGGGGGGAGAAAAACATGTCAATTTAACCCTTTCTTTGCCAAGGGGTGTGTGTGTGTGTTCCTACTGTCAGCACCATCTGCCTTACCTTTCCCCAGCACTAAATGACCATTTTTGTGATTGTGTGCCTCTCTTTTCTCAACAACAATAACCACCACTACTGATTATTTAACCCTTCCGTGCGTCGTGTTTTACTATCATATCTACACGACGTGGGGAACTCTGTGCCACCACTTTCCAGGAGGAAGTTTACTCGTTAAGCCGATCGGTACACTTTGCATAGCAGTCTGTCCAAATGATTTTTTGAGACATACTGAAAGTTTCAAAGAGATCTTCGCACTAGAAGTATTCTAAAATGTGAAGAATACAACCTCGGGGGTACAAAATGACCCCTGGACGTACGGATAGGGTTAAACACAAGCTTCCGATTGTGGGTGGTTGGCGGTTACTCTTATTTGACTTACTCTCCTACTTTTCTGTCAGATAACTCATTTTTATCTCTCCTCCTTGTTTTCTTTATGTGGATGGTTGGCGGGTGATCTGATGCGGTTCACTCCTTCTTTTCTTGGTATGTTTTTTCTCTCTAGTGTCCCCTCCAATCTTCGGCACTTGTATGACCTGCTTGATTTTGCAAGTGCTGTAAAACTCTTACGAAAACTAAACAAATATTATCAAGCAAGTGTCGGTGACTTGATGGCTGGGTGTCTGGTCACCTAGGTGTGTCCTTTTTGTGTTGCAAGTGCCGTAAAACTCTTACTAAAAGTATTACCCCCCGGGGGAGTGCCACTGACTGTAGTGTCTTTAGGCCATTCCCAAAGGGGGGACATTTCTCGTTCATGCACAGAATTATTGTAAATGGGCTGATTCATCAATGTCACGCTCATAATTGTGCCTGATCTACAACAGGGAACTGCTGCTTTTTCTTTCCTAATCCTTACTATTGTCATTTTCCTCTACTTCTTTTGTATGTTTGTCACTCTCTTGGGACCTGCTATTTCCGGGTTGCCTTGATAGTCGAAGCAGACTTTGTGCTGTTGAGGCTAGAGAGGTGAGCAGAGTGAGTGTGATTCCCTGTAAAGACTTCTCTGTTGACACCCACCCCTTGGCGCTCATATGACCTTATGCAGTTGCGAGCGCCGCAAAACCCTCTACTATAAAAAAACAAAACAACAACTAAAAGTATAATCTAAACGAAACTTAATTCTGTGTGTTTCAGCGACATGAAGTCCATCATCGAAGACCCCCGGACTTACAGTGAGCAGAACGACGTGAAGAAGTTCCTCATGTGCGCACGCCACTTCGTCAAGACGGAGGAGGATGTGAAGACGCTCTCGTCCATGCTCTACAACAAGTAATCATGACCTTGACACGCTTTGTTGTGTCAGCGAAAGATCTTGTCAGTTTGTTTGGTGTTTTAGCGCCTTTGATAGGGCAGCTTGCACTGTACGCTTCCCCGGAAGTTGAGATTGTTTCAGAATGCTCTCAGGTCTGCTTGGGTAATAATATAGATTGTGAGCTTTCTCTTGAGCGGACTTTGTGTTATACAAATGCTTTCTACTATTATTATTATAACATTTTTACTCTTACTCTTATTATTACTGTTATTATTATTATTATTATTATTATTATTATTATTATTATTGTTGTTGTTATTACTATGATTATAAACATTATTATTACTGTTATTGTTGTTATCAGTAATATTATTATTTATGATTGTTGTTATTTTTATTGTTATTGTTATTATTATTATTATTGTTACTATTATTAATTTTAATATTATTAATTTTAATATCATGATTATTTTTTTAATGATATATTTTATTTATTTTACTTCTCAGCTGTCTCAGTGATTCCAGCCTGGCAAAGCGGGGCTCAGAGATCTGCGATGCGTTGACCTGTATCGAGGTCGGGAGTACAAAGTTCAGGAACTGCTTGCTCTCACTGGTTCAGGCCGATTATAAAGGTGAGGAGCTAAAAATAGCTTACACACGATTAGATCATGTGTTTGTCGTGTTGGTTTTAAAATAGTTCATTCAGAAAACTGTCTCTTTTAGCTGAGCAGATGTAAATATTGTAATAATGTTATTATTATCATTGTTATTATCATTATTATTAAAATTGTTATTATTGTTGTTATCACCATCATTATTATTATTATTATTATTATTATTATTATTATTATTGTACTTTGTTATTTTCCTTCTTTTCATGCAGCTTATATCTATAAATCTGTGAAAAGTGGATAAGGGGTGGGAGAGAGAGAGAGAGAGAGAGAGAGAGAGAGAGAGAGCGAGCGAGGGAGAGAGAGAAAGACAGAGTTGTCCTGTTTATTCTTATCTGTTTTTAAATTTATTTCACTCCTCGCCTGTAGCCAGGAAAGAGCTGATAGCCTCCGACCCTGCGAGGTTCCGTGGTTTCCTCGCCTTTCTCTGCGAAATCTTTGGCGTGATGCGGACAGCAAATAACGAGGTGTGTTTTTTAGCTAGTTCCGATATGCAACGACTTTTGTGTCTGGAGTTATTAGATGTGTTTCTGCGAGAGCAGAAATAGGTTGTGTTTTATGGGAGTTGTAGAGGTGTGTTTTCTGGCTGTATATAGTAACATATTTTGTGAATGAAATAATAGATGTGTTTTTGCGATATATAGTAACATATTTTGTGAATGAAATAATAGATGTGTTTTCGCTACGCTATATATAGTATCATATTTTGTGAATGAAATAATAGATGTGTTTTTGCTATATATAGTAACATATTTTGTGAATGAAATAATAGATGTGTTTTTGCGATATATAGTAACATATTTTGTGAATGAAATAATAGATGTGTTTTCGCTACGCTATATATAGTATCATATTTTGTGAATGAAATAATAGATGTGTTTTTGCTATATATAGTAACATATTTTGTGAATGAAATAATAGATGTGTTTTTGCGAGAGCAGAAATGGACTGTTTCGTGGGAGTTATTGAGGTGTGTTTTTGCTATATATAGTAACATATTTTATGTCTGGAATACTAAGGTATGTTTTTGCTTGCTCAAGCCATGGCTTAGCGGGTGGTTGGCGGGTGCTCTGGTGTGGTCTGCTTCTTCTTTCCTATCAAACATCTATCGTCCTTATCTCCCCTTCTTCTTTTTTTATGTTTGTTACTCTCTTGTAACACCTCTAATCTTCTGGCGCTCATATGACCTTATGCAGTTGCGAGCGCCGTGAAACCTCTACTAAAACAAACAGCCATGTCTTTAAAGTTTGGAGTAATGAGATATGTTTTTGCTTGTTCTAGTAATTTCTTTATGTATTTGTTTGAGGTAAGAGATGTTTTTGCTTGTTCTCATAGTTCATGTCTTTTGGGTATGGAGTATTGAGGTGTGTTTTATCTTGTTCTAGTTGTGTCTGTAGCATTTGGAGTAATGAGAATGTTCTTATTAGTTCAATTATTTAATGTCTTTGGTGTCTGGAGTATTCAGGTGTTTTTGCTAACTCAGTAATGAAGTGTATTTTTACTAGGTGTTTGATGAGAGTATAGAGGTGTGTTTTTGCTAACTCAGTAATGAGGTGTATTTTTACTAGGTATTGATGAGAGTATAGAGGTGTGTTTTTGCTATTTTATTTGTAGAAATGTGGGTTTTTTATGTGTTTGGAGTGATGCAGGATTTTTTTTTTTTTTCAGAGTTTTAATTATGTTTTTTTGGTCATATAAAGTGTTGATGTATGTATTTGCTGGTTCATGTCTATGTGCTCGACTTTACTGAAATTCTTTTTCTGACTGTGGTCTCTTTCTCATCCACTTCCAACCCTCCAATAGGTATTCAAGCCTTTAGTCAACCCAATCTTCGACTGTTTCATCCTTCCTCTCGGTCAAGAAGACCAGGAGGAGGAGGAAGGTGGAGAAGGGGGAGGAGGAGGAGGAGGAGGAGACATGGAAATGCTCAACGATGACGTCTGTGAATTGTTTGCCATCCAGGTATGGGTGTAAACTTGTATGAGTGTTTACTTTTATATGTGAGACGTGCTGATAAAATGAGCTACATTTCGCAATACCTGAATGAAGATATGGACCAAATTTGGTGTCATAGATTTTCAACTGATGGCATTTTCTTCAAACTCAACTTTTTATCTCTGAGGGTGTAAATTACTGTAAACCCACTACACCGGAGCCCTTTTTAAAAAAAAATACTAAATCTAAAAATAACAAAAGTGTCCTAAGATGGTTAATTAAATCAAAATAAATGAACGTATTTTGATAGTTCTTCATCTAATGAATGAACTCCCGGTAAAAGAGACCTGTTTTCGGCTACTGCAGAAAAGTTATTTGATATCGAAGTCGTCGTAAAGGAGTGTGCCCGAACCGATGCCAGCAGCTCACCAGCACAGTGGATCCGACCGTGAGACGCTGGGGGTGGCTTGCCAGAGATAAAGAGTTATTGACATGCCTTTTATTGCTTCATACTAATAAGTTGTTAAAACTCTACCTATATCATTCACCTGTTCATATCCATAGAGCTAATATCCAAGCCGCTACTCATTTTGTCAGTTCGCCTCAAATATGAATCATGGTGCGATAGGATCGGGCACTTGTCAGTTTAGGGCCAATGGAGTTGTTGGTATCATCTTTATGTTTGTTTACTTGTCTTTGCCGTTGAAGAAAGTGAAGGTCGCCTGACGTCAGCGGTAAAAATAATGTTAAAATGGCCGCCAAAGTTTGGTGACTTCTAAAACTGTAGTGTCCTTGGAAACTGACCATGTACTTTTTTATGTGCCTTTGATCAATGTTTTTTTCGGTAAAATCCATGCAGGAATCTTTTTTTAAATAGACATCAAAGATGTTGGGCCTAAAGCAGAAGATTTGATCAACATTATCCGATGGGTTGAAAACTATGGGTTACTTTGATTGATTGATTTTGTTGAACGTCTGATGGCTCAGCGATACCTCTCATAAATTTCGTTACCGTCTTGTTTTTTTTCTCTCAGCTGCAGTCGGTGGGAAAACTGTTGGAGGAGAACGAGGAGGAGAGAATGAGGCAGCTCATGAACCGGATCCGAACCTGCATCATCCACAGCAAGTGAGTAGAGGGATAGGTGTAAAAATGAATAAATAAATAAATAAATAAATAAATTACATTAAACTTATTGATCCTAGAAGGGCAAATTGGTTTACAATGGCAAATACACATGTATAACATAAATATATAATTATACATACACACACACATACACACAGACTCAGACACATACAGACACACACACACACACAATCACTCAGAAACACACACACACAGACACACACACACACACACACACACACACACACACACACACACTATTGCTGGTCGCCATTGTGCAGAGCCCTGTTGGGTTTTTTTTTTAAAGCTAGGGTGGTTGTGTCTTTCTCAAGGACACACCCCGGTGACCACCCGTCTGATCCCCGTGTCACACACACACACACACACACACACACACACACACACACACACACACACACACACACACACCAGTGACCACCCATCTGATCCCCGTGTCACACACACACACACACACACACACACACACACACACACACACACACACACACACACATACACACACACACACACACACACACACCTGTGACCACCCGTCTGATCCCCGTGTCACCGACACCTGCTTGACTTTACTCTTGAGTCTGCACTCACTGCTCACTTAGCCACTGGAGCCCCCTGATGCACTCAGTGTTGTCCCAGGCAGTCACCCGTTGTTGAGGACAAAAAGGTTTTAGTTGTTGTTTGTTTTTTTGGTAAGTGTTTTACGGCGCTCGCAACTGCATAAGGTCATATGAGCGCGCGGCACACATTAAACATTTTCAGTTGGTAGGAAATTTTGAATTTTGCCCAGGTGGCGGCCGAAGGCTACTCTTATCGATTTCAGACCACCAAGGGATCTTTAACGTGTGCAACTTGCACACGGGACCTCTGAGGTTTTTCACTCTTGTCCGAGAAGGCTAGGTGTATATCTTTCCTACCAGAAGACCAGGGGTGTGGCTTGAAGACAACAGGTAGAAGGAGCCAAGGAGTAGCAGTAGAAAGGCTGCAGAAAGAGTCGGGAGCCTAGAAGAGGGGACAAAGGAGGTGAGGGGTGGGGGGGCAGAAAGTGGAGACGAAAGCAGAGATTTCAGTTTTAATTGTTACAAAAGACTTAAAGTAGGTCTTGAAGCAGGAATTGGAGAGTTTTGAAACACAGCTCACAGTAGTGAAAGGGTTAATGTGTCCGGCGTGCTCTTATGACCGTATGCAGTTGCGAGCGCTGTAAAACACTTACAAAAAATATAAAATTTTAAAAGAAAATTTTAAAAAATAATCAAATAAACCTAATTTAATTGTCTCCCCTCCTCTGTGTCCCTGTCAAGGAGTTCGCCCCGGGTGAGGTGTTCCCTGCTGGAAGTACTGGAGAGCTACGCCCGCGGCTGGGAGTCGGCCGACAGTGAAACCACCAAGTTCTACTGCGACATGGCCGTGGACATGATCTCCGGGCTGGTCTTATGATACTGCGCTGTCTGTCGGGGGGAAACGAGGGGGGAGGAGGGTGGGGTGGTGGTGGTTGATGAGGCGACAGAGAGATCGTTGAGTTCTGTGCTGCGACATTGCTCACGATGTGAACTTTGGGTTTCGACCTCTACGGTATTGCCTTTTATAGGGGATTGGGAGGGAGGGGGGGTTGGTGTTTGTATGTGTGTGTTTGTGGATGTGTTTGGGAATGAGAAATGTTTTGTTTTTTCTTTTCTCAGTTTGTTTTGCATTGTGTGTGATTTGGTTGATTTGCCTTTTATTGACGTTCCGCTTTCTCGATATGTGTTGCATCAGTGAAATCAGGTGCTTGTCAAAATGATGAAATTGAAGAAACTGTTACTTTTCAATTAGGAATTTTTTCTTTTTTCTTTTGGGCTCTAGCATGTGTAGCGTGTTGTGTGTGTGTGTGTGTGTGTGTGTGTTAACTGTTACAAATGTCCACTGATAACATGCCTAGTGTGTGTATGTGACATGTGTTTAATGAATATCCAGTTAAGGAGAGGAAATGTAGAGTCTGTAGCATGTTTAATGTTCACCAAAAAAAAAAACCCGACAAATCCATTCCTACATGGATTTCACAGAGAAAGTTGATGGCAGCCCCCCCCAATGCAAATTTGCAGTTTTCAAGGACACTACAGCTTTGGAAGCCGCCAAACTTTGGCAGCCAAGCAGTGAAGAGAGGATTTCCTCCAGAGAAAGGAAGCCGTTAGGCATGTTGTATATTATGGGTGGATTGATGGTGGTGGTGGTGGTGGGGGGGATTATATAATAAGGAGTTTAGAGCAGTCGTTAACCCTTAGGCTAAAACAGCACCTAGACATGGATGACTGGTGCCTCTATAAATAAATCATTGATGATGATGGTCGTCGTTAACCCCTTCAGTGCCATATTGAGGAGCACCTGATTCCGCCCCGGCGGGACCCATATGACTGGTATAGCTGGTACCTCATGGAATGACACATATGACCTGTCATAGCTGGTACCTCATGGAATGACACATATGACCTGTCATAGCTGGTACCTCATGGAATGACACATATGACTGGCATAGCTGGTACCTCATGGAATGACACATATGACTGACATAGCTGGTACCTCATGGAATGACACATATGACTGACAGAGGTGGTACCTCATGGAATGACACAGTTTTCCACATGTTTGGGATGTACCAGGGAATGTAAAATACGTCCTGTTGAATGGGATAAAAGTGGGGTTTTGGGGTTTTTTTTGGTTTTTTTACTCAATTATCACGAGTGGACGATGGGTGTGTCCAGTGAAATTTGCCCGATCCTCAAGTGGACGGTCTCAGCGTCCAATCAGACTGCAGAGTGAATGAAATATTACTGCTAATGCGATCTCTTACTCTTAGGAATCCGAGTAGATCTATTTTGACTCGGAAATATTAGATAGATATATATACGTTGCTTCTCTTTCACTTTTGATACAGTTTTAGCTATGGAATGAACATTTTGCGTGCATGCCCTATTACTTACTTATTTCTTGAAATCTGGAAAAAAATTCCTTGACAACGTGGAAAATAGTTCCGCTTTTAAAGAGTTAAAAGGTTATGGGTAGGCTAAAACAGCACCTGGACCTGGACATGGATGGCTGGTGCCTCTATAAATAAATCATTGATGAAGGTCATGGGTTGCTTTAGCTGAAAGTCTCAGCAGTTGTAGGCAGGATGGTGATATGCTACAGACTAGTTTATTAATACTCTTGTTTAGTACCTGCACCCACTCCTCTTTGTACTGTAGCGGTAGACATTGGTTTTTGTTTGTTTGTAGGTTGTTTTTTTCCTTTGGGGGGGGGGGGGGGGTTGTTTGTTGTTTTCTTTGGGGGAGGATGGGTTTTTTGTTTTTTTTCAGAAACTAAATAGGTTCTTGGTGTCTTTCTTAATGTGAGGTTACGTTTTATTTCAAGTCTGTGAACTTTTTTGTTTTGAAGCCCTGAGTTGTTGGTTGTATAATGTTGAATTTATATATATATATATAAATTATTTTCTATTGTTGTTGTTTTATTTTAAGCATATCTATGGCCATTAAGATTCTTTCGTGTCTGACATGAATCTTCCGTATCTCTCCTCCTCCTTTTCTTTGTCTGTGTGATACACCTAGTGACCTACCAGTAACACCTCTAATCTCTGGTGTTTCTGTCATGACCTATCTGTGTTGTAAGTACTGTAAAACTCTTCCTGGAGCTAAGACAGATGGCCCCTAAGCCCTTGTCTTTGGATTCATGCGTTATGATGTGGCATGTTTGATGAATTCCCCCTACAAATTCTTTGTTCGCAGTTGGTTGGCGGGTGCTCTGGTGTGGTTTGCTCCTTCTTTCCGACCAAACGTCCTTTGTTCTTTTCTTTCATTTTTTTGTGTGTTTGTTACTCTCTTGTAACGCCTCTACTCTAATGTTTGGCACTTATGAGATTAAGACCTTATAGTGTTATAAGTGCCGTAAAACTCTAACTAAAAAACTGAAAATCGTTGTTCTTTTGCAGTGATGCCATTTTTCTGCCCCCCCCCCCTCCTCCTTATTTCTGTTTTTTTCTCTAGAAGAACAATTAGTTTTCTAGATATATGTTTCCTGTTTAACTTTATAATTATTTGTTCTGTCAATCGTCCGTCATTTATTAAAAAAATTTCTTTTTTCGCAAATGCAATGTAGATTTTCAGGTCTTTTTAGGAAGTCCACTGGTATTTGTGGTGCTTGGGTGGCTTAGGTCACTTGCAAGTAACCTGAGTTTTTACATTTCTGAGTATGGAGTTTTATCAAGTATCCTGGTCTTTGTGTTGGTATGTTGTATCTCTCTCAGCCTGGGTTGGCTGTGACTTACGTTTGATAGATATAGGTCACAAATGAAGGGCCCTGTGGCAAAATTGGCTACATATATACACACATATATA